GCTAGGAAGACAACGGCTAGTAGGGTTGTTCTAAACCATAGGGCAACGGTTATCCAAGCCTACGAGAACTACGAGAGAAACCCAACTCACACACTTATTGAACATGTGGAGGAAGTCTTCGCTAGGTGGGCTGCGGCAAGGGGCGTAGGACATGAGGTTGCACCCCTTCAAGCTGTTAAAAATCTTATCCACATACTGCCACCTCAGTGGGGAGACATGGGCATTGTGGTTAGGGATGAAATATTAGAGGGTAATCCTCAGGAGCACCAAGGGATGATTGGATTCGAGCTGTACTGTGAAACCTTCATAGATAGGTGGATTTCCACTCTCGAACCTGAACTTGAACCAGATGAGGACCTAGAGGAAGACCTAGAAGAGGAGCCATATTATGAATCTGATTTGGAGCCAGGGGACGAGCCGGAGTATGCACCAGGACCAGAGCCAGGGTTCGAGCTAGACCCTGAACTAGAAGTCAACCACGAATCTGAGCCTGAGTTATGTATATCATCGGATGATGAAGCTCCTCCGTCTAAGCTACATAGGATTCAAAATTTTTGGACTAGTGAAGATGAAGACTAGCAACCTAGAGATGGTTTAGTTAGAATAAATGTTTTAAAAAAAAAATTTACATTCAGTACTTGGAATAATCCATATGTTTACTTCATCCACAATTTAATCGTTTCCTCATATATTCTTGGATTTAAAATTTTATGAAACTAAGTTTTCATTCAAATATATTGAGATGTTGACTATTTCTAAGATGCAATTTATTGGTGGGTTTAAAGGAAATGGCACGTCAATCAACACAAGCAGATATGTTTAAAGAATTGTTGAGAGCTGTGCAAGACCTTGGTAGGCAACAAACACAAGCGCCTCCCCAGAATGCACAGAATAACTCCAACTCCACGAGCTCAGTCGTGGAACAGTTTCGTCGTTACAAGCCCCCTACCTTTAATACAAGCCCCCTTCCTTTATCGGGGCGGCTGACCCTTTGGCAGCCGAGGAATGGATAAGGGGTTTAGAATGTATCTTCAAGCATCTCTCCTGCTCTGATACTCAAAAAGTTTCATGTGCGGAGTTCATGCTAATCGATGCAACGGGACACTGGTGGGAGTCCATCTCACGCACTAGGACTGAGGCACAACAACGCGACCTCACTTGGGCAGGTTTCAAAGGGGAGGTTATGGGAAAATATTTCCCACAAGCCTTGAGAGATCGTAAGGAGACAAAATTTCTACAACTTAAGCAAGGAAGGATGACATTGGTTGATTATGAGAGGAAGTTTGAACAACTTTCTAGGTATGCGACACATCTGGTGGATACAGAGCAAAAGAAAGCTAGAAGATTCGAACTCGGACTACGCCCTGAAATTGGAGGAATCATAGCATCACATGAATTCACCACGTACAGTCAAGTTCTACAACGAGCTCAAGCAATATCAAATCAACTAGAAATTGATTAGACAGTCCAGGAAAGTACTGAATTTTCAGAAAAAGGTAATGGAACGGATTGAACGAAGGTAAATGGAATGAACAAAACAAGAGGGCTAGTTTTGAAAAATGGTCCGAGTCAAACAAGCCGAATAATATCCTTACTCCGTGTCCTAAATGCGATAAGACCCATAAAGGCGAGTGTTGGTATGGGAAGAATGGGTCAAGCAAGCCGAATAATGTTCTTACTCCATGTCTTAAGTGCGATAAGGCTCATAGAGGCAAGTGTTGGTATGGAAAGAATGTATGCTATCGATGTGGAAATCATGGTCATATCGCTACCAATTGCTATAAACCCCCACCCAAGTGGGACAATGAACAAAGAAAAAAGGGGACAGCCAAGGTGTTTGCCTTAACCCAACATGAGGCAATCGAGGATTAAGACATGATGGTAGGTATTCTATCAGTATCTAAAATATTTGCTTAAGTTCTTATATACCCTCGGGATGCTCATTCTTTATTATTATTATTACTAGGTATCGTACTAGTTGTGAGGGAGCTGTTAGTGTTCTAAAAGTTACTACCCATTAGACAATACGCTCAACACCAATCGATAACTAGGACCTTTCACCTAGATATGATCATTTCGAGGACGAAATTATTTTAAGGGATGAGATTATAACACCTCAAAAATTTTAGAAAAATAAAATTATTTATTTCATCTACTACATTTTATATTTTGAAAGTTGGTGGACTAAGGTGCACCTTCTTTTCCGGAAGTTCATCGTTAAAAATTCAACAGTTAAGCGTGCTTGAATTGGAGCAATTCTATGATGGGTGACCCCCTGGGAAGTTTTCTCGGGAAACGTGCGAGTGAGGACAAAGCATGCTGTAAAGACCCATATTGGTACAGTGAGGATAGTACGTTGTCGATCTAATGGTCGGGACGGCCCGTTAAGTGGTACCCGAGTCGTTACAAATATGGACTTTTCTTTTGAAACATAAGTCTGACACTTTTCAAAATTTTAAGCAATGGAAATTGATGATTGAAAACCAAACAAATAAGAAACCCAAAGCACTTAGGACTGACAATAGCCTTGAATTCTGCAATCTGGAATTTGACTCTTTTTGTAAAGAAAATGGAATTCTAAGGCATAGGACTATGACATACATTCATCAGCAAAATGGTATTGTTGAGAGGATGAACAGGACCTTACTAGAGAAGGTCAGGTGTATGATCCACAGTTCTGGTCTTCCAATATTCTTTTAGGGAGAAGCTTTAAAAACTGCCACTTATATCATTAATAGAAGTCCTTCAAGTCCCATTGATTTTCAAATTCCTGAAAAACTGTGGTCTAAAAATGTGCCCGGTTACACTAGACTGAAGGTTTTTGGCTGTGCTGCCTATTTCCATCAAAATGAAGGTAAACTTGAACCAATGTCCTTGGAGTGTGTCTTCTTGGGATATGGGGAAGAGACCAAAGGGTACAGATTTTGGGTTAAATGTAAAAATGGTTTTCAAATTATTATCCGCAGAAATGTTATCTTTAATGAAAATGACTTCCTTCGTAAGACCAAATCTGAAACAGTATTTGATAATACAGCTCCTACAATTGAGACCATTCTTGAAAATAAATCAAATGATAACAATGATTTGATTGAGGTGGAGTCAACTCAATCTGAAGCTAATTAGGATCTGAGTGAATCTGATAATGAAGCTGAATTTATTAATCATCTCTTGGCAGATTACCAACTGACTAGAGACAGAGCTAGAAGAAATAAAATTCCTTTCACTAGGTTTAACAGTGATGATTTTATTACTCTGTTCACTGATCTTGAATCTTTGAATGCCAAACCTTCCACCTTTGAAGAAGTTGTCAACTGTTCTGAGTATAAGTTGTAGAAAGAAGCTATGGATGAAGAAATGGAATCTCTGGTTAAAAACAGAATTTGGATTTTGGTTAATAAACTTGAGAATCAGAAAGTAGTTGACTGTAAATGGATTTTCAAAATTAAAAAAGGGGATTCTAATGTAGGAGGTAAAAAGTATAAAGTTATACTTGTTGCTAAATGTTCTACTCAAAAGGAATGAGTGGACTATAATGAGATATTTTCTCATGTTGCAAAATACACCTCCATTAGAATTCTGCTTGCTTTGACTGCTCTTGAATCTTTAAATGCTAAACCTTCCACCTTTGAAGAAGTTGTCAACTTTTCTGAGTATAAGTTGTAGAAAGAAGCTATGGATGAAGAAATGGAATCTCTGGTTAAAAATAGAACTTGGATTTTGGTTAATAAACTTGAGAATCAGAAAGTAGTTGACTGTAAATGGATTTTCAAAATTAAAGAAGGGGATTCTAATGTAGGAGGTAAAAAATATAAAGTTAGACTTGTTGCTAAATGTTTTACTCAAGAGGAATGAGTGGACTATAATGAGATATTTTCTCATGTTGCAAAATACACCTCCATTAGAATTCTGCTTGCTTTGACTGCTCATTTTAACTGGGAACTTGATCAACTTGATGTGAAAACTGCATTTCCGAATGAGGATCTTAAAGAAACCATTTATATGAGACAACATGTTGGTTATGAAGTCAAATCTAAAGTTCACAAGGTCTGCCTGTTGAAAAAATCTCTTTATGGCTTAAAGCAAGCTCCCAGACAGTGTTATAAATAGTTCAATTCCTACATTGAAACTTTGGGTTTTGTTAAGAGCAATTATGACTCTTGTCTCTTCTTCAAAGGGTCAGGAGGATCTGAATCTATTTACATACTTTTATATGTTGATGATATGTTACTTGCTTGTCAAACCAGATCTGAAATAGACTTTATTAAATTACAGTTAAAATTTGAGTTTGAAATGAAAGATTTAGAGCAAGCTAAGAAGATACTAGGCATGGAAATAGAAAGGAACAGAACTGGTTGTATGTTATGGCTTAGACAGAGTATTTACATTAAGAAAATAATTGAAAAATTTTCTATGATTGATTGTAAACCTGCATCTTTGCCTATTGTCAATCATTTTAAACTATCTAGTGAACAGTCACCTAAAACTGATGAAGAGTTTAGAAGAATGAAAAATATTCCCTATGCTATCACT